AAATGCGAGAAAGAAAAAGGAATAAATATTTAATCAACCGACTGCTTTTCACGGGCGGAAAATGGGGAGCCGGCGAGAGCTCGGGAAGAGCTACCTTTTAATTTTATCAATACCTTTAAAACAACGGCAGCCACCCAGGCAGCCGAGAAAGAAAGGAACATCTGTTGAAGAAGCTGCTATTGGACACTCGGCACGGTTTTACATCTCACGGCTGTCGTGGTTGCCAGCCAAAATCGCAGGGCAAGAGAGGAAACAGATGGAATTCAAGCTCTAAGTTTGGAAGCCAAACCCTCTCTCGGAAAACCATCACTCGCTGGGTTATTTTAACACCCGCACAGTCAAGGACAACTTGTCCCCGTTTCGTTCCTGGACTGGAGATGAACTGGAAAGGGAGCAGGTCTTTCTTGCGCTTCCCTGCAACAAGGTTCCGTCTTAGGCCCGGTGCTCTTCAATATCGTCCTAAATGACTTAGGTGAGGGAATAGAAGAGGACCTCATCAAATTTGCAGATGGCACCAAGCTGGCAGGAACAGCCAACATCTCAGAAGGCAAGCTCAGGATGCAAAAAAAAAAAAAAAAAAAAAAAGAAAGAAAGAAAGAAAGAAAGAAAGAAAGAAAGAAAAGAAAAGAAAAGAAAAAGATCTTGATAGATTTGAACAATGGGCCCTATCCAACAAAATGAATTTTAATGTGCAGGGGCAAAAAAGCAAAGTTTTGCACTGAGGCAGGAAAAGTATCAGTAGAGTATAGTAGAGTAGAGTAAGTAGAATATGGAGTGGAGTGGAGTGGAGTGGAGTGGAGTGGAGTAGAGTGGAGTAGAGTAGAGTAGAGTAGAGTAGAGTAGAGTAGAGTAGAGTAGAGTATGGAGTGGAGAGTGGAGTGGAGTGGAGTGGAGTGGAGTAGAGTAGAGTAGAGTAGAGTAGAGTAGAGTAGAGTAGAGTAGAATATGGAGTGAAGAGTGGAGTGGAGTGGAGTGGAGTAGAGTAGAGTAGAGTAGAGTAGAGTAGGAGTATGGAGTGGAGAGTGGAGAGTGGAGTGGAGTAGAGTAGAGTAGAATATAATATGGAGTGAAGAGTGGAGTGGAGTGGAGTGGAGTAGAGTAGAGTAGAGTAGAGTATGGAGTGGAGAGTGGAGTGGAGTAGAGTAGAGTAGAATATGGAGTGAAGAGTGGAGTGGAGTGGAGTAGAGTAGAGTAGAATATGGAGGAGAGTGGAGTGGAATGGAGTAGAGTAGAGTAGGGTAGAATATGGAGTGGAATGGAGTGGAGTGGAGTAGAGTAGAGTAGAGTAGAGTAGAGTAGAGTAGAGTAGAGTAGAGTAGAGTAGAGTAGAGTAGAGTAGAGCTGGAAGGGACCTTGCAGGTCTTTTAGTCCAGCCCCCTGCTCAAGCAGGAGAACCTATACCATTTAGGAGGGTATGGGTAAGACACGTGAAGGAGCAAGATGGATTGGGACCACATGCACTTGAAAAGACCCTCATCTACCTCCCCTCCAGTCCCCTTGTTTGTTTATTAAGACCATCCTCCCTGTGTGGATGGAGGACATTTAAAAAAATAAATAAAACTGTCCATAAGTCCATAAGCGTTTACACAGTTCCCTAAATAAAATTGCAAGGTGCAATTTGTGGATTGCTTCCTATATTCCCCGGGGAGGGGGGACTTATGTGTAGGGATTGAAGAGCATCGTTCTTTCTCCAGGAACATTTAAAAATGTATATGTACCACAAGCAAGATGGATCCTCCAATTTGTCCTGATTTTATCTCTCAGGATGGGCTGGGTGATAAGAGAGGCTTTTGAAAAGCAGCTGGAAAATTTGATTTTTTTGGATTTTGTGATTTCGAGGGGGTCAGAATTGTTGACGAGTCTTACCAGGGAGAAAGTGCTACTCTCTGGCTGAGAAAAATTATACTCTTTTGAAGGTTTTTTTTTTTTTTTTTTTAAAAGAACAAAATGAACACCAGAAGCTTTGGAGATGGGTCAACTTACCACTATCAACCCAGGAATCAGGTGTGTTTGTGTGTGGCAATCGGTGAAGTTCACGGATCCGGCTTGAATCCCTGAAAATTTAAAAACAAATCCAAGCAGTGGTCAGCAAAAATTTGTTTTGGTTTTTGTTTTGTTTTTTTAAAGTGCTTTAATTATTTATTGCTGGCAAAAACCAGGCTACCGGCAGCTTAATTGCTAGCCTATTTTTCGACCAGCAAGGGGGGGAAAAAAAAAAATCAAGAGGTGCTTTTGTGACAGCTAAGTCCTGTTGGGTAGCAATGTCATAACACAAGCACATAAATTATGGAGATTGTGTGTGAATGACATGTGGGGACAAGTTTGCCAGCCCCTGTCCTAGTTTGCTGCAGACCTTCTTGTGAGAGTGTTAACACCGGGTGGATAGCAACAGTGTTCTGCAGGTAAATGTTTGAGAGCTTTTACCCCTTTGATGCTAGAAGATCATTGATTTTCTGGGATCAGGTCCTTCCAATCACCTTGATGGGAGAAGAAACGTTATTTTGACACCAAGAAAAAACATTTCCCTTCTTTTCAGAGTTTGATTGACTATGTTTTGTTGGCATTCATATTCTGCTTTTCAGATATGTCATTGTGTTTTGCCTGTGCTAATAATTAACAGAATCTATTGTTTTTATTTTTTCAGCATTTTAAATAATATACTAGAGAATTCCAGTTATGGGGCAGATTTACACAAAGCCCTTTCCTTTCCTTTCCTTTCCTTTCCTTTCCTTTCCTTTCCTTTCCTTTCCTTTCCTTTCCTTTCCTTTCCTTCCCTTCTCTTCCTTTCCCTTCCCTTCCCTTCCCTTTCCTTTCCTTTCCTTTCCTTTCCTTTCCTTTCCTTTCCTTTCCTTTCCTTTCCTTCCCTTCTCTTCCTTTCCCTTCCCTTCCCTTCCCTTTCCTTTCCTTTCCTTTCCTTTCCTTTCCTTCCCTTCCCTTCCCTTCCCTTCCCTTCCCTTCCCTTCCCTTTCTCCTTTCCTTTCTCCTCTCCTCTCCTGCCCTCCCCTCCCCTCCTCCCCTCCCCACCTTAGGAAAAAGAAAACATTTGGCCAAACAGGGATGACATCACCTACTTCACAGCATCCTTACAAGGGCAAACATGAGGCAATTGCCAACGTGTTTTGCAAGATGAAAATGTAAATAATTGCCAGCAATGTGTTACAAGAGCCCCGGTGGCGCAGTGGTTAGAATGCAGTATTGCAGGCTAACTCTTCCCACTGCCAGGAGTTCAATCCTGACTGGCTCAAGGTTGACTCAGCCGTCTATCCTTCTGAGGTTGGTGAAATGATGACCCAGATTGTTGGGGGGCAAGATGCTAACTCTGTAAGCCGCTTAGAGAGGGCTGTAAAGCCTTGTGAAGCGGTATATAAGTCTAAGGGCTTTTGCTATTAAGAGCTGTGGTGGCAGAGTTGTTAGAATGCAGCATTGCAGGCTGACTCTGCCCACTGCCAGGAGTTCGATCCTGACTGGCTCAAGATAGAATCAACCTTCCATCCTTCCGAGGTCGGTAAAGTGAGGACCCAGATTGTTGGGGGGCAAGATGCTAACTCTGTAAACCGCTTAGAGAGGGCTGTAAAGCCTTGTGAAGCGGTATATAAGTCTAAAGGCTATTGCAAGTGCGATTGCTATAAGTTTAAAATCGAGGATGGGGATTTCCCCCCCTTTCCCTTGTTTTTCTTTCCACTTCACCTCTTTTCCCCATCTTCTCCTGAGAAGATATGCCCGTCTAATTCACAGCTCATCTGGCTAGTTTCTCTTTAATGTTAATGGCGCTGAGATGTAAGCATTGAAGTAAGGCTAAGCCCTGCAGACCTGCAGCTATTATTATCTCTAACGATAGCCATTCTTCACATTTTTCCATTCTTCACAGTTAATGATGCTATAACGTAACAGAATTCCAGTCTAATGTCTCAATGTACTGGGCAACATTCTTTAAACTCACATATCTGGTTCCATGTCCTACACGCTCCCCCCCAACCCCCCCACCATCTTATTAAAGGAGAAAATTTGTAGCTCAGGGTTGAACTGAGGGGTCCTTGGTGCTCTCTGAGCTTGGTGGTTTTCTTGCAGACCTTTCTTGACCCAAACTAGGTAACCTCATCATGTTTCCACAAGCAGTTCCATCAACAGACACACTGACCTGCAACCAGCCTACAAACCTCTCAGAACTCAAATCAACAAGAGACGGCACCGACTCTCAACTACCCATGCAACCTGCCAATGACCCTCACCTGACGTGACCTCCCCATCGCAAGACCCATCACAAGACTCTCACTGGTGACCCACAGCTGACCCATCACAAGACCCACCATAAGACCCAGGCCTAAGGTGACCCTCACCTGATGTGACCTCCCCATTGCAAGACCCACCACACGACTCTCACTGGTGACCCACAGCTGACCCATCACAAGACCCATCACAAGACTTTCACTGGTGACCCACAGCTGACCCATCACAAGACCCACCACAAGACCCAGACCTGAGATGACCCTCACCTGACATGACCTCCCCATCGCAAGACCCATCACAAGACCCAGACCTGAAGTGACCCTCACCTGATGTGACCTCCCCATCGCAAGACCCATCACAAGACCCAGACCTGAAGTGACTCTTACCTGATGTGACCTCCCCATCGCAAGACCCACTGACCACATGAAGCCCTTATGAACAGAAGAACACCGACACAGACATCTCCTAAACACCACTGAAGAGGTTACCCAGCCTGGTAACGAAACGTTTGGAAACCACCCCACAAACTCAGAGAATGACCATCCACCCT